TGTTGAGACTGCTTTGTGTCATTCTAGGTGCTCTCTTCAGTCGAATGAAGTCAACCTAGATGAATAGCAATGCTTGTTCAAGGGCAAATAGAAAACTGCAATTCTGCAAACACCTCTCAGGCTGGGTGTTTCACACGTGGCTGGAAAACCATGAGGTGGATTGTTTTCAAGCTGCTTGGGCAATAGCAGCCTGCGGTCTGATATTAATGTCATTGTTTACAAGAAAGCATAATGTAGGCTTGCGTGAGCAAAACTGTTTTAATACAGCTGTTACATAACAAATTTGTTATACAATGAAACAATCCAAAATATGCCTTTTGGAAGGAAAGTATCCATTATGCAGTTGCACGGCAGCAGTGGCTTAGATGTGCATACTTAAACATTTTCAGGCCACAACACGCTCGCATACAATTTGGTTCAGGTGTGTCATAACACTTCACTAGAAAATGTGCATGGATGATAGGTTAACTGCCACAAATGAAGGACCGGGATTAAGTTCCACAACAGAGAGAGCAGCTACTGTTTTGTTTTTGCACAAGAAATCCAAGAGTGAGAATTAGACAACAATCATGGTGTCTCCTAAATTAAGAGCAGCGTGTTTTTTAGTGGGGCTTTTTGCTCCTTTATTTTTTAACTTGCAAAAAAAAAAAAAAATCTTCCTAGTGGAAGAAAAACATGTTAAATGTATTGATCAGTAATCCCCAAACTGTTGCTGTCTCGGATGCGATTGGAGGTTTCCAGAGCTGTCGTGATAGCCCACGAAGACGGACTCTTCCTGTATGTATCCTGAATGCTGAGAACTGCTGCAGATGGTGCGCCGGTTGCCTGAAACAGCAGAGTGGCGCAGACGCACCGTCAGCCTCCAAACCTAAGCCACAAATTATGTCTGGTACATGGAAAAGATCATGTGGCCCTGCAGCGGAGTAGAGGTGGTGAGAACAAGGAGTTTGGTGGTAACTGGGTTGGGATTGGACGGATACGATTTACATTCCTCTCCAGGGATGTGATATCAAGACAAGGTCAGACCAAGGCTAATACACAAGTCTCCGAGGAGAGGGAGGAGGAATCTAATCTTTGCTCTTTACTCAAAATGACATTTTATATAGAATGCAAAACCATATTTCTGCGTGAACTTTGCATACCTTTTACGAGATGCAATCTGCCTTGAATTAAGCTAATTGCCTACATCTTTCTAGATCACCTCCTATTGTCTAATTTGCCTTGTATACCCTGTTTCTTAAAATATGTGCCGTAACACTGAGATGTTTTGAATGCATTCGCCTTCTCAAGGAAATACCCCAGACTCGATTTACATCCTACACTACATTCCAACTTATTTCAATGGTCAGACTAACCTCAAAGCCCAAAGGGAACCTCATTGTAATTGCAAAGAAATGTAACACTGCAGTCTAACACTCTAATCTGAAATGAGTATTCTGGTCACACTTGGAGCTGAAACAAAGTTGGTGGAATTTTTTTGTGTGCTTTTGTTTCTTTTTCTGCATTGTATTACTTGTCTTAATCTATTAAAAAAATGCATTTAGTTCCCTTATATGCATGTTTTCCTCTGAGAGAAGGTCTGTGAAGCAGGAGGAGGCCTAGCTACGGGATCTGCAACAGCAAAGAGAGAATACTCCAGACAACCTGAAGAGATTAGGGTCTATTACCAAACAAATTTCTACTACCACCTACAACACTTATGACAGTCTTCAGTTCAACTCTCATAGGAGCTTTAGGGGGAAAAAAGAAAGTAAGAAAGAAAAAGAAAAAGAAAAAGCACACGCTTTTGTCCTCATGGCGGTGTTCCCTCGACGCCAGAATGAAACAAGCTCTGTTTTCTCGGTTGCTCGGTCTGAGAAGAGGGGGCGAGCATGTTTTAAGAAGGGTGTGGGAATCAATTATCCCACTCAAGAGACATGCAGGACCAGTGGGTATTGCTTGGGATTAGTGTCCATTCTTGTCATGTACTGACAAACCCTCCCGCTGATCTCCTTAACACCAGGTGTTATTAAGAAGCAAGGCCCTTACAGGGGGCCTATAGGCTTTTGAATAACTGCCCTTTAGGAAGGACTGACAAGCTTATAATGATGAAAAAAAAGCGCATTCCTGTGCTTTCATGTGCTCACCTGTGCGAATTTTCAGATTATATTGAGCACTGTCCAAACTGAAAGGGAAATCATGCAAAAAATAAACTTGCAAGAACTACAGCTTGAGCTGTCTTGATTAACCTGCTTTGACAAAGTGACTAGAAATATGCATTCAGATGGGCAGTAAGATGAGAAGATCTTTTAATCTTTATATTCAGCATCGCCTAAATAAAAAGGGTGGAAACAGGGAGGTATATTTTAAATACAACACAATCTCCTTCACTTTCTGAAGCTTTAGCTGATTGCAAAAACTAGAGTGTAAAAACATCAACACGTAGTTTTATTGTGGACTGTGGTGGTGTTCTTCCAACACATAAATCAATGTAAAATGTCAAACTACCTTGATTTTTCTATGGATTGTTAAACCAATATGTGATATTTAGAGGTGCTGGTAGGTGGATTTAAATTTTTTTTTTTTTACCTTTGGTCAGCCAAATGTAAGCTAAGCTTGTATTCTGTTCAACTAAGGTAACCAGCTGCATATTCTCCTAGAAAGCTAATAAGCATTTAACCCAAAATACCAAAGTTCTGCTCATAAATACTTTTCCACACTAGTTCAGTCAGTGCTTAAAACCTCTGAACGAAAGATTAATTACGCAAAAAATTTGAAAGATTAATAACTGCTGATGTGTCTTTTTGGGGAGTGATCAGCACAGATCCAATATCACCCAGAGCGTGCAATGATAATTTTAAAACTTGCTGGCTTTAATCTTTAATTTGAGGTGCTGTTGTGTTTACACACAGTAAGTAGAAAGTTGGCTCGGTGAAGTCACTTGGCCCATCTGCACTGAATGCGCTGGATATTGTTTGAGATTGGGAATGAATAGACTTCATCTTGAATCCTGGCAGGAGCGCTCCCCAGGTGTAGCTGAGCAAAACCTGGACTCGTCCCAAGTTCAGATCCCTCTCTCTGTTTACGTGCCAAAAATCAAGGTGTGTGTGGACACAAAAGATGTTAGTTGGTAGCTGAGCGATTGAAAGGTGTTTACACAGGAGTTAAGAAGGGTTGTCCCTGCCTAAAGACATTCTCAGCTGGCAAACAGTAAGTGGATATTATTTACAAATCAAGAGGTCAGCTATGTCAACCAGTGTTGCTTCTCACTCCCACTGTAATTGCACTGATTGTGTAGAAATCTATGAACGCTGTTGTTTTATCAGCCGGGTGTTTCTGGGAAAAATAAATAACAACCTAATTGTGTATCATCAGAGGAAAAAATGTGCATTCATTAAATAAAGCTTTGCAGTTGTATATGTTCATGGACCATAGATGTTCTACAAGCATACATGTTTCAAACACCAGTGAGGCAGGGGCGATCGCATGTTAAAGAAGGCATTCTGTGACAATAACCAAAACTTTTGGTAATCTCAAAATCTTGAGCAATCGGTGCGTAGGAAGAGTAAATATTTTTCAGGAGCAGGCCTGCCAAAAGGTTCACATTACTTCCTTGAACGATTGATAGCTTGCCAATTGATTTATGGTGCTCAATATGATATTTTGCAAAGTGATTAAAGGTTTCATCTTCTGCTTTCAGATTTCTTGTGAAATCGCCTACAGTTATATTTGCGGACAAATTTACTTCATTGTGAACTGCGGGTGAACTCACCTCAGCGCAGCTGGTTTAGCAGAACTGATCACCGCGTCTTGCAAAAAGGCAAGACCTGACGGATATTTAACTTCAGTAGACACTCTTTAGCCAAGATCTACAAAACAGGAAGCTGTAAATGTGTGAACTACCCCAAAATCCTGATTCCAGAACCAAGGTATGACACACTTTGGAGGATAGAAATGTCTACAGAGGGATGCACACAATCTTTTTCTTATACAAAAAAGAACAAAACAACAACAACAACATTATTGTAAGTAGTAATCTGAGTAAAATTATAGTCAAAGGAGCTTGCAAAGAAAAGCGTCTGGACTTCTTTAAGTTACTTGAAGACGTTTCACCTCTCATCCAAGAAGCTTCTTCAGTTCTAAGGTAAAATTATACTTGTAAAGTATCAGAAATGAGTGTGAGTGAATTGCCCATAACAACAATATAAAACTTCTAACCTAAACAAATCAAACATGAGTTTATAACACAATTGCCATACAAAATACACTTGTAATAATAATAATAATAATAATAATAATAATAATAATAATAATAATAATAATAATAATAATAATAATAATAATAATAATAATATCTACTCCAGAAGCTGCTCTGGTGCTTTCAGTAAAATCACATGATCTTCCTCTGTAGTCAGCGGTGCCCTTGTGGTAAGGGGTTTTCATCAGCTGTGCATACTTAAGTATACTTATAGTATTTGAGTATCTGAGTAGAGTACTTGTAACAATAACCCTCAGCTAGTTTCCAACACGTGCACATGTAAGACATTTTAAAACACCAAATCCAAAACAAAAACACACCTGGACTTCTATGTAGGGCAGTGTATAGACTACAATAACACTGCTGCGATATTTCAGTGCTGCTTGTGCTGCACTCAAACCAATTCTTGGTTTGCCATTCTGGAAATAAACAGTCACTGAGTGCAGGTATTTTATCACACCGTCCAGTCCGGCTCAGAGCGACTTCAATCTGCGCAAATACCGACTGCGTGGTGCTTAAAACGCCCACAGAGGAGAAGCTGTCACACCAATCATAAATTAAGACGCACTGAGATGAATAATCTTTCTGAAACATGAGAGGGGAATTGTGAATCAGTTGGGTTGTATGTATCGCGGTGCTGCTCCCTCTCTCTCTCTCTCTCTCTCGCTCTCTCCCCCCCCCCTCTCTCTCTCTGCTGATGGGAGGAGCGCAGAGCAGCTCCTCTCTGTATAAGAAGTGTTGAACGTTCAACAAGGGATTTTACACAGCTACTCAGGAGAAACGAAATGATCTGCCCTGGAGCCGCAGCAAAATGCTGGATGGACACCTACTCCTGGGATGGTTATCGTTCACAGTTATAGTGTATCTTCTCAACTTGCCTGGACCCACCATAGCATATTTCGGGTAAGAGATGACAGACGCACTGTTAAGTCCATGATGCTACTTTTCATTGATTTGATTGGTTCAAAGCAGGTTTTTTTTTTTTAATGTAGTAAGTCACTGAAAACTCTTTAGTGAGTTTAGAAAGTGGAATAAGGAAGTTTATTTTTTTAAATCACTGATTTCGGGTCAGCGAGGTATCACCTGGAGGCCTCACAGCTGGTGTGTGCAGCCGGTTGTCTGCTCAAGAATTTACCTCAGTGAAGGTGCTGCTAATTAAAAAAAAGTAGCAGTGTGTTGGTTATCTTAGAATGACATTAAATCAAATATAATCTAATATAATATAGGTGGAAGTATGTATGATTTTGACCGGTGAGAGCCCCCTCCCCTCCATTCTTTCCCTGACAATTGAGCCAGCGCCCACTGTTCAGTGAGCGCGGCACGTTTGAGTGGCAGGTAGCGGTCAAGGGGTTATTTTGCTGAAACACTTGTAAAATCATATCCTTAGTCGACTCTGAAAACAGCCGTGGAGCCGAAAGGTGAGTGTATATGCCTCAGACTCAACAGCTGGTAACAATAAAGCGATCTGACTGACTGAACTGGTGGCCGAAACGTCTGCTCAGCTTGCACAGAAAAAATCCCCCCATCCAGCAAAAACATCACACAACTTTGGCAGTTTTTTTCTTCTTCTGCTACCTCCATCAGATAAAAACGGGAGAAACGAAAACAGCTGGAACACGTGTCAGGAAACTAATCTGAAAAATTTAGCGTTTCGTGAATCGCGTCCCGCACTTAACATTGTTTCATTTAGAAAGCGCACACGGGTGTATATTTCAAAGTAAGTCATTCCCAGGGAACGCCTTGGATTTTAGGTGTAGCCCACTATGACCTCCACTTCAGAGTGGCTACTCATGCTGCACTTTGCTTACTCGTACACTCTACACTCTTAGCTTCCTTTTCTGTCTTAGTTACAGAAGAACATTAACAGTGCTGGGAAGCCAAGGTCATTCAAATGAGGTCAGCATGTCAGGTGGGACCGCAGCCATATTTCACCTGGAGCTGGAGAGCTTTAATCCGAAAAGAAACCCACAGACTGGAATGTACCTGTGCAAGTGGAAATGCACATTAAACACATTTAAGATCTTGGTGCTTTTCTGTATTATCTACAAATATCTCTGTTGATGGGTGCTATTAGTGCTCCCCTACAGGGTAGACACACACACAGACACACAGAGACAAACGGTTGTAGACTGCAGAGTGATGACACTTGAAGCTTTGCCAGCAGAGTCAAATTTATGGTAGGTATGGGTGTTGTGCAGGATCCAGGAGTGTTAGGCGATCTGGGAACTGATGTGAATCTGCAAGAGAGCACAAGAACTGTCCCCTAAGGGCCCATTAGCCTAGTATGTCAGACCTGCCGACCTGTTGAAGTGGGTTTTACATTCTCCTGGAGGCAAATGTTATCTGAATAGTATGTATTTGCTATTGAGTCAAGGCAAAAGAAGTTTTGGAAGTAGTAAAACGCTATGTATCTCACAGTAACTGTTTTTCAGATCTCTGGGTAATATTTTTTTCTCTGTTGGGGGGTGGGGGTGGAGTGTTGCACAAAGTGTTGGCACTAATTTTGGAAACTGGGTGATGCAAGCAAATTGTATGACACCTGCAGTAGTTCTGTGTGATGGAAATATCTCAGCCCCTTCTGAGCAAAGCATCATCATGTCTAATACTCATGCACGTATCAAGTAGTTTCTCTCTCTGCCTCTTGGTCTTTGGTTTCAATTCATTTCTAAAATTGCATTAGAAGGACAAATGTATCACTGCTCTCTGTTTCTGTCTCCCCTCCTGTTGCAGTGTCGCCCTTTGGCAGGCACTTGTATTAAAGATGACGTGCCAAATTGGCACCAAAATCAGCCCTAATGGTTCTAATGGTAATGCATATTTACTTATTCAGTTAGCACTTGCTTTCAATTACCTATGTCAGTCTGTTCTCTATCTGTGGCATGTGTAGTGCAGAGAGACATGTGGTATTACAATATTCCAGATTTATTATTCTGTGGCCCAGGGAGAAAGGAATATGAATGAGTGTCAGTGAATGATTTAGCCTTGCTGCTGAGGAACATGAAACATACTGAAAGAGCCTGCGCAGGTGACACAGATACAAAATGTGACTGCCCCGTGGCCGGCTTCCCAGAAACTCGACACCGGTGACACTCCAGCACAGTCTTGCTCAGCTTTGACCAGGGGGCATACTAACACAAACCTGTTCAAATAAGTATTCCATGAGCACGAGGCATCCCTGGGTACTGATTTACTCAAAATAGAGGGTCAATGTTGCATACCCAATTTCCAAAGTGCGGTGGAGCATAAGTGTAACATAAACACAATCTCTCCTGCCTCTAGTCTGCTGTAGCTGAGGGTGGGGTGGGATTCCTGGCGTAGCCATGCACCCGCTTAAATTGTCATCCTTTGCCACAAGAATGTGAACACTCATTTTCTTTTCCTCAGCCTGCTGTGGCAGGTGCTGGTTCTGCTAAATCCGTTATCATTAGAGATTGAATTGGAGATGCTCACTGAGCTTGCCTTACTTACCTTAAGGTTACAGCACCTTGATTAGATATGGCGTTAACTGTCAGCAAAGGGGATGATTTGTTTGCTCAGGTGACCCCGTGAGGGCTTAGAGTGCTCTCTGAGACGACTCTGTTGGTTTAAATTTAAGTTTTGGTAAAAGGCTTGTCATTCTGCGGTCTTGTAAACTGTGCTGGATGTGAGTCCTTACACTGAGTCAAGGGTTTGTTTTTCTTTAGCACACATGCGACATATACAGGAAGGCTGCCCACAGTCATGCAACTGGGATTTACTAATCACAGACGCGCCGCAGCATCCGGAAGAAGCAGATATAGCGGTTGCTATTTAATTGCTGCAATATCCTTAAAATCTCTATCATCGGTTTGATCCTGAAGAGCAGAGCTCCTTTCAGATGCAATTATTGTTTTCAGCGCTCCATTAAGTGAGGCAGTAAGCCAAGAGCAACAGGATAGCAAATGGGATGTGTGTAAATTTATTGAGGAGTGATGTTTCTTTTCTTTTTTCTTCAGTGTGCAGCCCGTCTGAGGATTTTATCATTTTGCTGACTTAGTTCCTGGCATGTATCAAACGGCATTTTTTTTAAGTTTCAAAGGAGCCTTACTTCTTGAGCACAGTGCAAAAATGTTAAAATTTGTTTTTTAAGCAGCTCCATCTAACCATTTCCTTTGGTTCCCTCCTCCCCCCATCCCTCCTGTCTTCTGGCTTGCCTGCCTTATGTGCGTGCTGGCATCCCTGCAGTGGTTTGTGGGGAGCTTCTGGGTGATTACCACTCATTAGAAGGAGCAGAGTTAGTGCGGGCTCAGGCTGGCGTTGCCTGGCAGACAGTGGTGGCAAGCGTCTCATTACCAGGCCTTAAGGACTGATTAGCCCTGACGTGCAGCAGGGCGGGGAGCACCGTTGATAGAGGGATTTCCCAACTACATAGGATATCCTGTGGCCAAAGCCACACCTCAAAGGGTATCACTTTAGCATGAGCCAAGAAGATAGGATTCTCATGACAGTGTAGTGTAGTGAGATCACGCGAACCTGGAAGCTTAGATAGCTGACCGCTCGTCCCTCTTAAAAGAGAGTTTTGTTTTCTTTATATTTCTGTTTGATACATCCAGATTTGAGCTAAGCCAGGCTTTGCTTTGAGCTCTGTACCCTGTTACATCCTTCTGGAGTCCTGCTATGTTAGTGGGTACCACATGGTGGTGCAGTACTGTCTGAGAGTGCAGGATGGTCTTCCATCAGCTCTTTCTTGTGTATAAATAGGAGACAAAACGTGAAAACATTAAATGTAAATGTAGTGCAACATTTACTTGGCTTATGCCCACTTGTGGTCATCCTGCATGATGGGTTCAAAATGTCTTTGAACGCTTATAGAGCAAAGCTGTACTTTTTTTTTTTTTTGCACAAATTTACATGTCTTTAAACTGGAAGATGCATAGTGTAGCTGCTGATTTTATGGGTTGAACCATCAGTAATTACAGAGCTTGGTACTCACCTTTGTTAAGAAGAGCTCGGTGGCCCCCGATGTGGGCTGTTATGGGGCTCATACTGTGTAATAACATGGTTGTGATGGATATTTTTGAAGATTGAATGGTTTGGAGAGGCTTTCAAAATGCGTTTGGCGTGCTCACATTTGAAGGAGGTGAAGTTCTCGTGTCATCAGGATGCCAAACAGACCACAATTAAGAGACGCTTGATTATAAAAGGGCAGCAGGTCCAGGCGTACATTTCATTGATGGATTGCTTGAAGATACGGAGAGGAAAATCTTCTTGGTTAAAATGCAAACATATGAGGATCTTTGCAGATGGAGCTGGAGACATGGGCAATTTGCAAAACAGGAAAACTAATATAGACTCAAGATACTTTTAGTGGTCAGGCATTGATGAGATGATGCTAGTTAGTGTGACCACTATGTCCTGTGTTTTCCATCCTTGACCACAGGCGAGTTTTCTCTGCGTAGTTTGTGGGGATAGAAGAGACATGGCACCTCACACGTGCCAAGATTAGCAGACTGTCAAAACCCTCACTTAAAACTTTGGCCTTCCAGAGAATATCTGCTTTTATCACATCCAAGAAAAATAGATTTTGATACATTTAGTGTCTTTTAAAAAAAAAAATCAAACAGATTATTTCTGCAGCAGTCAGCATAAAACCCTTTTTTCAGTATCATCCACCTGTTTGCAGGGTAACCTGAGTTTATCTTGCATAAACACGATCATATAGAAGACTAAGCTGATGTGCACTCAGATGCTTCACTGGGATGGGTGTGCTTATATACTCTAAGATTCTCCCAAAAGGCTTATTTATCCATAAAGCCAGAATATTAGTTTGAGAATGGACACAGTGAGACACACACTGACGTGAACAGGCCAAGGCACGGAAGACGTTCTGCGATTCACCCTGGGGCAGATTTCATTTCACGTTGAAAGTGGCCCATTTGCATGAC